CTAGAAATTTTTGGATTGGTGGTGAGATTTTTATATCATCTTTATATATTGAATTCTTAATTTCCTAATTATAGAATATCAGTATATTATGATGTGGTACAATAATAATTATGGTAATGATAAATAAAAACATTTACTTTTTTTATAATATTTCCATCACCTGAAAAATGTGGAAGCACATTAAATGAAAGCAAACGATCAACCCTAATGATATATTGTTGATGATAGTAATAATGAATAAGTTAATTAATTTAAACAATTTTATTAAACATTCTAAAAATAAATAAATATTCATCTTTTACATTGATGAGGATGAAGATTTACGTTTTTGGTATTGTTGCGGCTGTTGCATTTCGTTTTCTTGTTTAGCTTCATCAATGCCAGGAGTTATTGTAGATTTTGTTGAGGTCAATTTATTAACATTGTTTTTATTATTAATATTGTCCTTATCGAAAAATATATCATTTGATCCAAGAATACGACCAAACAACTTATAAGAAGAATCAAATGCGTCAGTGATAACTTTTACACCACTATCAGCCACTTTAACTATTTCATGCCCAACCCTCCTACCACTACTGCTGTTAATAATGTTATTGTTGTTTAAATCCAAGTAATCAGCAGTCTCTAAAAATCCAATAACTGCTAGAATATTTGTTAAACAGTATGACATTTCGTTATCTATTAAATTTCTTACTCTAAATCTCTGTATAAATCTTTTTTTTTTTTTGAGAGAAACACATATACATAATCATATTATATTAAATATAAAATTTTCAATAAAATAAATATAATATAATGTTTAATAATAAGCATTTATAAATATTTAAAACTCACCTTAGATTAGAAATTAATTTTTTTGGATTAGATTTAATAATAATGTGAATTAATAATGGTAAGATTAGATGTGCTATTGAATTATTATCAGAGTTTATTGATGATTTTTCAAATTCTTCTATAATTAATGTTAATATTATTCAATATTATTATTTGATTATTAATTCCAATTAAAAAATAATTTGAAATAGATTACCATTAATAATTTGTGGCAATTTATAAGACATTCTAGTTTTTCAAATGGTGATTTTCTTTGGTTTAAATTTTCTAATTCTGAAGATGAAAGTTTAACAACCAATTCAACTATTTGTTGTTGATTTGAATTAAGTTCAATACCAAGATCTTTAAGATTTAAATAATTTAAAGCTAATATTTTTGAATTTAATTCCTCATCTTTTAAACTATCATCTGACCATTTTGGGCAAAATATTCTAATAATGATAACAATTATATAAATAAACATAATTATTAATAAATAGATAAAATATATA